GGAAAGAAAACATAATTTCTCGGTTATGGCAGAAAAAAGCGAATTCTCGGGTATGGCAGAAAAAAGTGAATTTTTGGTTTTGGTGAAAAAAAAAAATTTGATTTTGACGTGAAAACAAAATATCTTAGTTTTGACGAGAAAATACGAGGGAACTACAACTTTTCAATTTTGGCAAAAAATATGATTTCTCGGTTTTGATAGAAAATGCAAATTTTCAGTTTTTGATGGATAATGTGATTTTTTGATTTTCGTGGAAAATGTAATTTCTTAGTTTTCGTAGGAAATCGTAATTTGACATTTTTGATGGAAAATGCAATTTCTCGGTTTGATGGGAAAACAAAATTTTTTCATTTTGGCGGGAAACAACAATTTCTCGGTTTTGATGAGAAATGCAAATTTTCAGTTTTTTGACATATAATGTGTTTTTTTGGTTTTCGTGGGAAAATATGATTTCTTATTTTTCGTAGGAAACGCAATTTCTCAGGAGATAATGTAATTTTTGGTTTATGCTGGAAATTGTAATTTATCCGGTTTGGTAAGAAGGCGTGATTCTTGGTTTGACGAGAAAAATATTTTTTTTTTGTTTTGGCGGGAATAGACGATTTCTCGATTTTTTCGGGAAGATAGTTTTTTTTTGGTTTTGAGGGGAAAATACGATTTTTTTTTTTTTTTTGCAGGAAGATGATAGTTTTTGGTTTTGGTGAAAAAACTTGATTTCTCTGTTTTGGCAGGAAAACACAGGTTATAACAGGAAAATGATTTTTTTTTTTGTTGGAAAATACAATTTCTTAGTTTTTGTAAAAAGATAAAATTTCTCTATGCTAAATTTACAAGTTACAATATGTTTATAGTAACCAAAATTGAATTATTTAACTTCGACTAAATTGATATTTTAACAGTTCATACAGAATTTTCTATTTAGTTCTAAAGCAATAGCAATGGTTTTGATATGAATGTTATTGATTATAGTTTGATAGTTTTAGAAACTTATGCTTATAATAAATATTTGATAAATAAATAAATTTTTATAATTCAAAATAATCATATTAATTAATATTTTTTTAAATAGCAATTTGCTTTATATAATTTCAAAGGAGGATCAAGTGGCAATTTAATGAAGAAAATATATTACATTTGCCATTAGCATGCAGGTACTTAAAAAGTATTAATTTATTCTTACATATACGTTTATAGATAGTTAGCTAAACAAATTTGATAGTAGATTATAATTTTGAAAATTAAAAAAATTAAAGTTATATAATGTTTATTCAGATTTAAAACATATATATACATAACTTAAGCTAAAAAAATAAATATAATATTCATTTCCATGATAAAAATTATTTTATCATATTAAAAATATATACAAAATTTTAAAATTATAATAAAATTTTTCGGTTTGATGGGAAAACAAAAATTCTCGATTTTGGCGAGAATAAACAATTTCTCGGTTTTGATGAAAAATGCAAAATTTTTAAGTTTTTGACATATAAGGTGATTTTTTTTTGTTTTCGTGGGAAAATGTGATTTCTTAGTTTTTGCAGAAAACACAATTTCTTTGGAGATAATACAATTTTTGGTTTTCACGGGAAATTGTAGTTTATCGGTTTTGGTAGGAAGGCGTGATTCTTGGTTTGACGAGATTTTTTTTTTTTTTTTTTTTTGGCGGTAATAGATGATTTCTCTGTTTTTACGGGAAAATATTTTTTTCCGGTTCTGAGGGGAAAATACAATTTTTTGGTTTTTGCAGGAAGATAAAATTTATTGGTTTTGGTGAAAAAACTTGATTTCTCTGTTTTGACGGAAAAACACAGGTTCTCGCGGGAAAATGTGATTGTTTGGTTTTTGCGAAAAAATGCAATTTCTTTGTTTTGGTAGAAAAATGAAATTTCAGGTTTGACGAGAAAATGATTTTTTTGGTTTTGAGAGGAATGGACGATTTCTCAGTTTCGTGAAAAATAAAAAAATTTTGTTTTGTCGAAAAATGCAATTTTCGGTTTTTGAAAAAGATAAAAAATTTCTGTGCTAAATTTTCAAGTTACAATATGTTGATAGTAACCAAAATTGAATTGTTTAACTTCAATAGTTCAAGCATAACTTTTTATTTAGTTCTAAAGCAATAACAATGGTTTAGATATGAATATTATTGATTATAGTTTGGTAGTTTTAGAAACATATGTTTATAACAAATATTTGATAAATAAATAAATTTTATAATTCAAAATAATCATATTAATTAATAAATTTATTTTTAAATGGCAATTTGCTTTATATAATTTCAAAGGAGGATCAAGTGGTAATTTAATAAAGAAAATAAATTACATTTACCATTAGCATGAAGATACTTAAAAATGTATTGTTTTATTCTTACATATATATTTATAGATAATTATTGTGGGACAGATCGCTGTTGTGCTTGTTGTGGGGCTGAGGAGACGATAAACCACATGATTTTTGAATGCCCAACCTCGGTACAAACGTGGTTGCTCTCAAGTATCCCGACTTCTCCGGGAAGTTTCCCATGCAATTCGATCTACACAAACTTTGATTTTCTACTCCTTCACGCAAAAGAAAATGGAGTTTCAGAGTCTGTGATGGAAGAATTCCCGTGGATCATTTGGTACATCTGGAAAGCCCGCAATGTCAAATCCTTTGAAAACAAGGACACAACTGCTAGCGAAATACTACAACTTGCGATGCAGGAAGTCGGCGTATAGAAGGTAGCACAGACAGAGGAGGAGAATGCCGAGACAGAGCAAACCCAATCACGACTCCAGGCCCCAGAAACCTCGTCGACAGAACCCCCAAAATGTCAAGTTGATGCCTCGTGGACAGCGGAGGATCCTTTGTTTGGAGGAAGAGCGCTCATAGAACTTGCGAATGAATCATCTCTATACGGTATGTTCACAAGTCACCGAGTCATCTCTCCTCTCCACGCAGAGTTCCACGTTTTGGTCTGGTCCATGAGGGAAGTACTAAAACAGGGGATAACGGAAATGAGATTTGAATCCGATTGTCTACAAATGATTAATATCATCGTTGACGAAGAACATGGCCAAACTTGACAGCAATGATTGAAGAATTCCGACTCCTCTCCATGTCTTTTAGCCATTGCTCTGTTTTCAATATCCCTCGGACAATCGCCAACTGAATCCATGATGAATGAAATCATATCTTTTGCCGGAAAAAAAAATATATTTATAGATAGTTAGCTACACAAATTTGATAGTAGATTATAATTTAGAAAAATAAAAAAAATTTGGATATATAATGTTTATTCAGATTTAAAACCTATAAATACATAACTTAAGCTAAATAAAAAAAATATAATATTTATTTATATTATAAAAATAATTTTATTATATTAAAAATATAGACAAAATTTAGAAAAATATTCCGCAGCGCAACACGGATAAGTACCTAGTTTAATCTAATAGAAAAAACTGTATCGGGATTTTGAACCAACAACACAATAAGGTACTTGCAAAAAAGATGTCAACAAATAAACATATATCTTGAAAATTTCGTGGTTTCTTCCGACTTTTCAAAACGATTTTTAAAAACCATCTTTTGTTATTTTCCGAAACCCTTTAACTTTTAAACTATCTTTTCCAGATTGCTTGAACGAGATTGCATTAAAGGTACGTTCTTTTTATTTGATTGATATGTGTTTGAAGGTACAGCTTGGCCTTCTCTGCTTTGCCTAAATCAGTACCAATCTTATACTAAAGTTTGTTCTTCTTGAGGTCTACAAAAGTGAATTACTTATGTTATAATGATGCATGTATGTAGATATATAAAACAAAACAAAAAACAAAAAGTTATAATGAGTGAGAAAATCAATACTTTGAGAGAGCTCACACATTTTGGGTTATTTTAAAACCCGATCATAATATCTAATGATATATTTTATTATGATTGGTGTTCACGATTAGAAACATGGAACATGTGTATGCATGTGAAGGCGACAACTTCCATCACAGAAATACAAATACAAATCTCTGCCTGTTACATATTAAACGAGTTAAAATAACGATGAGTATAAATAAATTTATAAGTATTAAGCCAGTCTTGATGTCATCCAATGACCTTTCGACTGATGAAAGAGACTCAACTTTGTACCCCATATACCTCTTTTACGGCCACTGCTTTTTTTGGCATATCCACTTGCATCTACCATTTTAAAATAGAAAGTCATTCCTCCATTAATTATTACTATATTACATGTAGGTCCTTCTTCTCTTATTCAGTTAAATAATCAGTATAAATAGTACCATCTGAATAATAGTTTGGTAGGAAAAATTAGAGAAATTAGTCGGCATTTTAGTGGTTTTTGAGGTTGAGATTGGGGTAATACAATAGCGTCAGTCTTCTTCTTTTTGTCGAAAAGACGTAAAAATAAGAACATAATTATAATACGTCGGACGGAACAGGAATTTTATGTTACCAGTCAGAATTTTAACAAAAAAACTATAAAAGAAAAAGAAAAATCCTCCATTTAAATGAAGATGAGAAAAATTTAACTTACACACACACAAATATATGTGTGTGTTTTTATGTTAAAACAATTATACTGATTTTTTAGAACTAGGGTTTCAACTAGAAAATCTTTAACTTCAAATTAGTATTCCATAAAAATTGATCACTGATTTCGAAGAAAATAAATGTAGTCTATAAATATAACCAAGACAAATATTGTTGATAAAATGTAAACTGCATAATATAATTATAGTATACGAAGGAAAAAAAAAACATTCTATTATAGTTCCATTCCATATTAGGTACCATGCCCTTACTATTGTTACAAATTAAAGGTCTACCGTTTATTATTCGCATGACCTGTATGATTCATTTGAACTAGTGACCTCATATATATTCTCACATTCACACACACATTGATAAATACTGTATTATAATGTATATTTACTAGTTTAGTGTTTATATTATTTGAACTTAGTGTTTATAAACTTTATATAGATCATTGTCCACTTGTGTCGCCTTTCTTTCTCTTTCATCCTTTTGGTATAATTAGAAAGAGGAGAACATGTTTTTGGGTCTTCGTTGAGATATTTTTGCATCAAAACCCTCCCAACAACCATGACCTCGCTTCCGGTGCCTTCTGGCCACTTACAGCTTCTTCGTCGGAATCTCACTACCCCGGCGGTTTCAAGAGCTCCGTCAATGGTATCGGCCGGTTTCAAAAGTCAGCATTTCTTAAGACTCACTTCTTATGATCTATGTATCGATGAATCTGTGAGGCAGATGAGAAATCATCGGTCGTGGGGCAATCGCCGGCGAATAAGCAAAAGCGTCGGCGTGTCTATGCCGTTGGCTTCGGCTGAGGATTTGTCGGCCGTTACTTGGGAATCTTGGAAGCCAGACAAGACCACGGTGGCTCCGTCGCTGAGTGACGTCATTTGGCCAGCAGCAGGTAATTAGTTTTTAAATCTGTGCACTAAATTATTATATGTTCACTTTGTTACAAGTAGTCTAAGTTGATATTTTAATTATCTTGATTTGGATTCTAAGTTTATGAACCTCGTTTCATATCATGCAAACTACGAATCCCATTTTGGGATTTGAAAATTTAAGAGATTAACATATAAATGAGAAAATAGTTATTTAAAATTTATTAGACAGCAATTTTCTTTGTCCGAAGACTAGGGAAGAGAGAGACAGAGAGTTCGTGTCTCTTCCAACAACCAATTAGCTATTGATAATAGGATATGAATCTAACTGTTCGAGGTTGACCAGTTCTCGAATTTAGTAAGAGTCATGATGATTATTAATATCCGTAGAAAGGAAATTGTTTCTGAATTTCTCAAGACTATAGTACTATATACATTCGATATGAGTCATTCGTCTATCATTTTTTGCCTTTTGTCTTTTTGTTTACAAGCGTCTATCAAATTCTTTTTATAAATCAATTGTAGTGGTTTTATCATTTTAATATTTTGTTATACATATATGTGTCAAATGAGAAAGAAACATAATAAAACTATAATTTAGTATCATGTCATGTTGTTATAATTTTCGAACATGCATGCAAAATCATTGAATTAGTTGGTTGATTATAGGTCACATAATTAATCTTATTAAATCTATAGCAGGTTTGATCAACATTTATAATTGTATATAAGACTAATGTGTTTGTTAATTGTTCGTATGATCGAAAAGGAGCTTTTGCAGCGATGGCGATAATGGGGAGAATAGATCAAACGTTAAGCCCTAAAGGGATCTCAATGTCGGTTGCACCACTCGGTGCCGTCTCTGCCATTCTCTTCACCACTCCTTCTGCACCTGCTGCTCGGGTAAATTCCTAAACGCTTTTCTTTTCTTGCGATTGAAACGCTATTTGCAAAACACGCAGCCTTAAAGTGCTAGCTACTGTTGATCAAGATGGTGATGGGTGCATGTGTATGTATTTCAGAAATACAATATATTCATGGCTCAAATAGGTTGTTCAGCCATTGGAGTGTTGGCGTTATCCATCTTTGGGCCCGGTTGGCTCGCCCGCAGCACCGCCCTCGCCGCTTCCATTGCCTTTATGGTCATTGCTCGTGCCAATCATCCGCCTGGTAACTCTATTCTACCTTTTTTTCCTCAATTTTATTATTTATAAATTTTTCATTACTAAAATTTTGACCTTATTGTCTATCCTATATCTAGCAAAAAAAAATCTGTCTTTTGTAAGTAGAACTGGAAATACAGATTCCAGGGTTAATATAACCTGTCACGAATGTCTAATTAAAACGAAAAATATATGAAAAACATTTATATATAAGTACACATTAGAATAAAATTAGATACAGTAGTCTTTTAAAAAAATATGGATGGATCATATATGATATATCTAATCCCTCCCATTTTACCTCAATTGTTATAATACTTTATATAATTTGAAAAGTTTGGAGTGAAACATGGAAAAATAACATCTAAAGAGTGGCAGTAGAGTAACTGTGTTATGGTTCTATAAATATTGTGTTATGGTTATATAACACGGAGACGTTAAAGTTTACAAGTTACGTCGGCCTCATGAATAAAACAGAAAACTTCTATAAATTCCATTTTCTTGTATATAGGGCATCGTCTATCAATTAGTTAATTTGGACGTTTCTTGACGAAAAACAATTGATTCATTTTGCATATTGTTTATATATGTTTTTTTTTTTAAAAAAAAAAAAAACAGCGGCGAGTTTACCACTACTGTTTATAGACGGAGCAAAGTTACAAAAGTTGAACTTTTGGTATGCATTATTCCCAGGTGCAGCCGCTTGTATCCTTCTCTGCTTCCTCGTAAGCCTACATTCCATAAGTTACTTTCTCATTTTCTTCTCCAATATATATTTGTCTCATCTGTTTTCTTGCTCTGAAAATATTTGATTAGACGTTTAAACTTTTGCAGCAAGAAATTGTGGGTTACTTGAAAGAAAACTTGAAATTTTGAAGAAATGGAAAAGGGACACTCGTATATATTGATATATGTATACTCACATATTGGTGGAGGAGAGATCCTGTGCAGATTTTTGATCCATGATAGACGTTTATGGTAGATGGTCGACGTTTCCGTACCCCATATATATATAAAGGAAGATATATATATATATACACAAATATGTATACGTTTCTACAAATTAAACTTGTAATTTACTTTTCTTTCCCTCTTTGGTCTTTAAGCTAAGCTCAATTATTTTAGTGAATTAATAATGCGCATATATGTATCATCATCGTCATACATATATACTACATAATGTTGAAATGTTGTTATATAAGTATATGCTTCAATTGAAAATCTTGTTTATGTGACGGAGAATAAGCTCCTGATGTTCAAATTAAGTAGAAACTCATAGTGGGAGTATTTAAAGGTTTTTGGATTTCAATATCTAGCGCACTAGTCGGTTATCAACAAAAATAAAATAAAAACTGGAATTTTTCTTCCACATTCATTTATCCGAAAAAAATTGTTTTATAAAATCATATACTGTCTATATATATATATATACAAAAGTTTTAGTTTGTTGGTGACCTTTTCATATCAATCAAATAGCCATTGCCCATCGCAACTTTCTGAAGTATGCAAATAATTTGTTCTTTAATTAGCTTAAAAGATTATTTAAAGCTACTATTTTACCACTTGTGCCTGATTTAATTATTTTGCAGCTGTATTTTTCTTCTCTAGAAGAAGCAAAATTATCGTATGAAAGGTTAAGTTGCAAAAATGATCATGAGATAGGAGTATGACATGATAAGAAATAATAACATGTAATTTAATTAGTCGTGAATAATCCAATCCTTAAGAGTGAAAGATATTTTGATCATACGTGCTAGGATATGATCACAACTTTTTAATGACGATTGTGCCACTTAGTTTTTTAAAAAATCAGTATCTCTAGAATCGTCCAGCAAAGTTAAAGCTAAACTATGCTGACAAAAAGTTGTATAAAGCGGAAAGCAAAAAACCACCTAACTCTTTCAGAAACCCATCGCCACGAAAGTTGTAGTGCAGAAAAATGTTGTTCGTTTTATAAAAAAAAAAAAAAAGTAATATGGCAAGATCGATGTTTAAATGAGAGTAATGAATGTAATCATAAACTAATTCCAATATAACTTCGAAGGCTAAATATATGTGTCAATGAAATTATTGTTTTGTTCGCATGAATCGGGTAAATAATTTTTAAAAAATTGGTCTTGACCCGTTAAAGAGTTTGGGTTATGAACAATTCTTCATTCTTACCAAATGTAAAAGTAAAACCCTCAAGATTGTTGTTTTCTCTTCTTTGGATCCAAATTTATTTACATTGAAAGACTGTCAAAGGTGAAAACTTTTTAAGGGTTGGGTAAGGAAAACACGAGTCAAAATGTTTTGTATTTCTTAAATCAGTCAAGAGTTAGTACCGAGTAGAGTTTCCATAGACTCACACTTCTCTCTCATCTCCGAGATGGAGATGGGTCGGCCAAGGCAGGAGGAACCCCACCGTTCTCTGCAGTCTCCAGAGCGGTGTCTGTGTGGACTGGGTGAATTAGGGATTGAAGTCTCAAGAAGTAGCTCTCGCTTTGTGGTTGGCTTCTTATGTACCGAGCTTCTGTTGTTTCCGTGTTCCCTTGTGTGGGCTGTTGTGTGTGTTGTGTTTCTGAGCTCTGGAGATTAGATAATGCACTGAGATCGAGGTCTGGAAAAACAGAGCTCCGGCACCGAGGACATTTCACGTTCAAACGCAGCCACTGGTCTATGCACTCCACATGGAAATTATGGGCGCAAGGTAAACCTCTAACCTGTAAAATCTCAGACAAATTCCACTCATTTTAAGGAAAGCAATGAGACCACAGAATCATGCAAGCACAGTATTGACGCAAAGCTATATATAATATCAGAAAAGAGATGGTTAGTACCTCATGTCCTATATGGAACTCCTCTAAGCAGATCAAGCATTCTCCGCAATCATCTGGGACAGCTTTTAACCTGAACTTTGGAAGTTCTTGAATGAGTGCTTCCACAGCTTCTGTCTGTTTATCAAAAGCATCAAGGATTATATGTTTGGAATCTTGAGATAAGAGTTATGGTCTTCGTATATAGAACATAATAAGATCCTGGCAATGATATGTTCTTTGACATCATCGGCAAAGAAGGCTTCTCCTTCTTTACAGAATAATGTCCATCAGGTACTGGAAAATGTATTTGTTGAGATTATGGATAGAGTAGCTTCGAGTCATAGTTATCTTAGGGACAAGTTACTAAATGCTTTGTGTGTTGAGAATAAACGGCAAGGCTTGCCTGGGCTGGAGTCAAGTAAAGTCCAGGATGGTATGTAGCAGCATCTTGACTTATGCCTCTCATCTCTTGGCCTGCGGCTTCAAATGCCCAGTCAGGTACCCGGATCATGTCAACTAAAATCTGTGCACAAGCAAAACAGCCATTGACATAATACTCAGGAGTGTCATAGACTAATTGCAACTTAGAACTTAGAAACAAAAATCATAATAACCAACTGTGAAAATGATCTTCTTGTATAATGGAAGTGAAGTTGAATAACCGGATCCTGAAACTTACCCCGAACTCTGAAATCGGAATCCCCTGCTGAGCACGTAGTACATGTACTTGTCTTCGTGCCAACCACTATCAAGTAAACTCATATAAGTGGGGGTTTCCTCTTCAGACCAACAGAAATGCTTGATAAAAAATCTACCTTTCCGATACAGATGCAAGCAATGCAGAGGAGGCCACAGTAGCTAAACATCAGCCAAATGAGGAAACCCCATTTTTGGCCTTCTGCAGGTAACTATCACAAGAGAAATACATAATACCTCAGTAAACATGATTTGCAACAAGAATAATCATATGACATGATCATAAAAAAAAATGCTTACACAGCTTTTTGCCTTTGTAAACCAGAATGTACCGATAACAGTCCAAGCCCACAGAAATGGATACAGCAGCAGAGATAGGAGAGACAGAACCACCACTCTCCCACAAAAACCAGCGTTCCGCTGTTGGCTTCCAAAATCCCTAACAGAGATTCATACCACAAATCAATGTGAAATGAATTAACCAGATAATATTCATGCTACCTATCTAATTCCGAGATCAAGCTTGAAATTCTAAAGCTAACCCAAAATAGTGTTAGATTCTACTAAACTGTAACTGCAAAGGAAGTTCATGTTATTTCTAGCATATATTTTTTTTTTTTTCACAGTCTAATCCTTTTCAATGAATTAAACGCTTATCCGAGGAATAAAGCCAAGAACAGACGAAGCAAGAGATAGATAACAACTATAGGAAATCATGAAGATTCCGAAAATTCAAAAACTTTCAAATTCACAGTAACTCTAGGACTAAAGAGCTTTAGATGGGACTTACAAGCCAAGTCCAGCAGCAAGACCATTGTCAACAAACATGAAGACGCGGAAGATAAACACGGTGATGTAATCGACCTGACGTAGTAAGAGACAAACAAAACCGTGAGAAGATAACAATATCTAAAGATCCCAATCAAAGGAACACAAAAGAATTGAAGCTCATAGATAATAAGCAAGAGCAACAAAAAGGTTAAAGTGGAGGCACCTACCACAATCCATATATGCAACGGGTATACGCACGTATGATATCTCTTCCAATTGACACCAACAATGATTCTACAACGCAAAACCCATTAAGGAAAGGAAACAGAGAAGTTATCTAGATCACCTTAAACCCTAGAGCAAGATTTCCACTAGTTCCTCTATTCCATGAGAGCCAAAACAAAAAATCGGATCTTCAGGAGGAGAAAAGGAAGAAGAAAATGACTCTCCCTTTTTCTCCGGAATTGATGAGAACTTTCAGCTCGATCCAAAAGCAAGAACAAACAAAATTATAACGAAAAAATCAAAAAATTCGCAGAATCCAACAAGCAGAGATTATAAAAGGATACACACTAGTTGCAAGCATCGACAAGAAGAACCCATCGTACCTGCGGAATTCATAAACGTTACCCACAAAATCAGAAACCCAGAAAAAGTCGAGAAACAAAACGGATACGAAGATGAGCAAAATCAGAATCCGACTCCTTCAGATCGACCCAAGTGAAATAAGATTGAAGAGAGCTCACCACTTGAAATCGACACCTCTCATCGCCATGAGAGAGGTAGACAAGAGTTAAAATCCGAGAGAAGGAGAAGCCCAAAGAAAGTTTGAAGATCAAAATGCTTGAATCGAATCCGAAACGAAACTCGAATCCTCAGGTGATGCCCAGTATCTAGCGGATTTAGGATCGCGAGTGAGGAAGAAGAAAGGGGGGATTTTCGAGCCAAGTAAAGCAGCAATTGCGATGGAGAAAATGAAGAAATTAAAGAGAAAACGGAAACCTCTGTCTAAAGAAGAAGGATTCGTGATTTGATAATTTTTTTGCGTAATGTCATGTTTATCGCTAATTAATGACACAGATTAGGTTGGTTGGTTCAAGTTCAAGGAAAAAAACAAAAGATTAGTACTTTATTAGGTTCATCTATCATAATCCAAAAATAAATAGATATACATGTAAATTTTTATAACTAAACCAGTCAAAATCGTTTTGCTTACACGTGTATTACCGAGTGAAGGTTTTTTTACCATCAAATGTTGAGTACTAATAAACAAATAAATAAAAATCAACCTATAATTTGTGTTCCTATGGAAGACAATGTCCTGTAATTTTTCAATAGAATCTGTAAACAATACTTCCTCTGTTTCATAATAAATATTATTCGCAGAAAATATATCTACATTATAACTAGATGTATCTGGATGTGTTTTAAATTTAATACATTCAGATACATTGTATATACATTTTTTTCAAATAACACTTATTATAAAACACTTATTATAAAACAGAAGAACATTTTTTATAAAACAGAAGAAGTATAATTAATTCCATGTAATTCTCAGTTTTTGACAAATCAAATAAACCAAAAAGCACAATATAATCAGTTCCATGTACAGCTAACATAATATGAGTGGAGAAAGTTACAGTGAGAATAACTTGATTACACATTTATTACCGACAATCTCACAACCAGTTACTCAAGAGTCTTAAATGTTCTTTTATTTGAGCTATTATGACATAAACAACGAACTCCAAGAGATCATTTAGATCCACGCAGGGTTATTAAGAGCAGTGACAACTGCCTTGATCTGCAAGTAATTATTGAGACTGTAAATGCCTTTCTCTCTGCCGTTGCCGCTCATCTTGTAACCACCAAAGGGAATGGCTGCGTCAAAGACGTCGAAGCAGTTAACCCAAACGGTGCCAACTTTCAAAGCCCTCGAGACCCTATTCGCCGTGTCAAGGCTCTTTGTGAATACCCCTGCGGCTAGCCCGTACCTCGTCTCGTTCGCCCTCTTAATCACCTCATCCACATCGCTGTATCCAAACATATCAACAAACCCCATCACATTTCGGTTTTGTCCGGTTCAGTCCAAGATCAGTTTCCGTTTAACCAATCATTTTCCATCATTAGTGAAGTGGTTAAGTGTAATTTCACGGTTATTACGTACCTGAACTTCAAGATTGATTGGACTGGACCGAAAATCTCGTCTTGAGCAATAAGCATGTCGTCCTGTTTTTCGAACCGAGAGAATCAGAACAGAAAGAACACTAAAGAAGCCTAGGTCGAGTTTGTTTTTCTTTCTTATTTACCTTAACATTAGAGAAGACTGTAGGTTGAATGAAGTAACCTTTGCTTCCGATCTGATCACCTCCACATTCCAGAGTAGCATTGCTTTCGACACCTGACCTTATGTATTTCATCACTTTCTCGAATTGCTTCAAATCAATCTATACAAAAAGTAAACCAGAATCAACAAAAGAGAAAGACTTTAGCATAATGAGAATACAAAAGGCCATGTCTTGTATAAGTGTAACCTGAGGACCCTGTTCAATGCCTTTCTTGAAAGGATCACCAACCACACGTTTCAAGGCACGTGCCTTTGATTTCTCAACGAACTCATCATACACTTTCTCATGAACATATGTACGAGACCCAGCGCAGCAACATTGCCCCTACAACACACATTACTTTAACATTATCTCAAAGAAACTGAGTTAAGTGCAATGTCAAACGTGTTTTATATTCTACTATTTGCCAAAACCTGGTTGAAGAAGAGAGCAAAGTGTGCAAGCTCCACAGCTTTATCCACATCAGCATCTTCGAAAACAATGAACGGTGATTTCCCTCCAAGTTCCAGAGTTACCGGCTTGAGATTGCTGTTAGCAGCCAATCCAAGTATAACTTTTCCCGTATCAGTCGATCCTGTGAAAGCAAGCTGCAGTAAAAAAAAAGAACAATGTAAACACAAACTTAATCACTTAATGAAGTTAAGAGAAGGCAAATAGATATCTCTAACCTTGTCTACATCCATGTGACTCGCGAGGGAAGCACCTGCGGTTCGACCGAATCCAGAAACTATATTTAGAACACCCGGAGGAAGACCCGCCTATCATATATTTCAAGAAACATTGTTACATATCAAAGTTCTTTCTTCAATGGTAAGTAGACGATGAGATCTTACTTCATGGAGAAGCTTGCCAACGTAGAAAGCGGTGAGAGGCGTTTGCTCAGCGGTTTTGAGGACAATGGAGTTACCACAAGCAAGAGCAGGACCAACTTTCCAAGCAAACATCAAAAGTGGAAAGTTCCACGGTATGATTTGTCCGGCTACGCCTATTGGTTCATGAAGTGTCTGGACATGATAGTTTCCATCAGCTGGAACTGTAAGCCCGTGAATCTTATCCGCCCATCCTACAAATTAAATCAAAACCATCCAAGAATGTTCATTTCACAGAGATTAATCAGCAAAAGCAAGAAACTTTCAATAGATTTCGGTTAATGTTTTTGTTACCAGCATAGTAGCGGAACAATCTGGCGACCATTGGGATTTCTACATCTCTTGCTTGCTCATAAGGCTTTCCATTGTCCCATGACTCCAGAGATGCGATCTCGTCGTTGTGTTTCTCAATCAAATCTGCGAATCTCAGCATTACCCTTGACCTTTCCTGAAATCCAAACCCCACTAGCCAAGATTAAAACCAAATCATATTAAAAGTTCACAAATTTGAGACTCAAGAACAGTATGTTTTGTATATACATAAGCAGTCATCTTAGGCCAAGGTCCTTCATCAAAGGCCTTCCTTGCAGCTTTCACCGCCCGATTGATATCTTCAGCATCGCCTTCAGCTACTTCCGCAATGACTTCCCCTGTGCGCGGATCAAGAGTCGGGAACGTCTTACCTTAAACCACCAATCCAAAAATCAACTATTAGTTAGTACTCATGGAAAATGGATTCTCAAGACGCAAGCTTTTTTAATCTCTCTCTGAACAGAACACTTTTGGTTGGGGAAAAACTAATATAAAAATGAAAACTTTAATCACCAGAAGCAGAGTCCACGAAGTTCCCATCGATGAGGAGCTGTGTGTAAGAAACTTGAACCGACGGGTTTATGATTTCTTCAGCTGCAGAAGAGGTTCCGAATCTCCTTACGATCCTACTTCCATTGTAACTATTTCTCCCTGAAAATCGTCATGTGTAATAACACATCATAACCTAGATTTCGCTGCAGATCCAGACATCAAAGAATCTAATTGTCGGATTATGTTACGGCTAATCACGATATAAATACAAATCACTACACTTGTACTAACTTCCTCAAATTAACGTGATTACCAATATATCGAAACAGAGCATAGTTGAATCTATATCTATTACTATTTACAACAACAAAGTTGAAACACGAATATATTTTTCTGGAGATTCACTGAATCAGAGACATAGATAGAAGTAGAACATGGGTTTGTCTGTATGTGTGCGTACCTTGCAAACGAGAGAGAAAGGGAGAGGAAGCTGAAAAGGATCGAGATAACAGAGAAGACACTCTACGAGCCGCCATGGATGCAAACTTCAAAGCTCTTTCTTATCTTTTCTTGGGATTTTCGTCCTCTTCAGTCTCTCTTTAATGAGATTATATTTTGATTTGAAGGAGAAGAAAATCTTACGGTCAAGATCTCCCGCAATCTCTCTCACACATGTCGATTAAATTGCACTCTCTCGGTGTGTGTTGCCGTACTTTGAATGGCTATTGACTAGTTAACGTATTGTCCGTTTTCCAATAAATATAAAAATTAAAAAAATATTTTAGTGAGACATTTTAATATTGTAGTAACTAGTAAGAGAATGAAATCAGAAATATTGTCCAGTAATAAGAAAAAGGAGACAGTATTTATCCTTAACAAAAAAAAGGGGATAAGACAGAGTTCTATGAGTTGTCCGTGAACTCTGATTTTACCAATATTTTTTTTTTCAATTTTAGCACCAACTACAGAAGAATATTAATTAATTGCGAATATAACTGGATATTATTATTCTTTTTTTTTAGTCTACAGATGCAATAGTTGCATGTTATGGTGTGATGTCGTTTTCTAAGAGCGGTAGTTGTGTCATCTCTTCTATATGTTTTTCACCTTTCTTGTAATTGTAGGTGAAGTTACAACTTACAATTGTGCATGATATTGTATTGTAGTCCGTTGAAAGTTTTCCACAAATAAGAAAATTTTATTTTATCTGTTTTTTGTTTTTAATACGATTAAGGAGCTTTAATTGGTGGCATTTTACTGCAGTGGGATGATTGATTATACTGGTCAAGAGATCCCTACTCAAAAAATGATTAAAGTTTGGAAATATAATTAAAATTCGGGAAAAAATGCGACACAAGCGGAAAAAAATCGGCGCTTGGGATCATTTTAAGTGGAGCGTAAATTACAATTTTTATTTCTAATAATTTTATTTCTAGAATTCATATCTTCTTGGAGGTTACTATAGTCTTTTTCCCATCTTATTGACTATTTGATTTTTAATCATAACTCGTTAGAATGATTCCTAAAATGTTGAACTCAAATAGTGTCAACGCCTAATTTAATTGTGAAACTCTTATACGAAAAAAAGAGTCAATTGTGAAACCCACTAGGCTAGTATTAATATACAATATTAGTCCATAGTAGCAATAAAAGCTGTAGGAGCCAAGTATGAGTTGGATAGAAATCGACATATCACATTGATCAGACACAATTACTTTTAACCTGTAACATTGTCTCTTTATATACCTGATTAATATTTTTGCTGACAGCAAATCAAGATAGTGTCTTTAAAAAAAAATCAAGATAGTGTCTGAAAATCCTAAATGCATTATTTCATATACACATCAGAAGAATCCTGGATCCTCTGGTTTAAACATTTTAGGCATTTTTAAAGTCGGATCATCAGGATCAATTCTTGAAGACCCTCTTTGGTTCCCTAAAACACCTTTCTTCGTATTAGCTGCAAACTTAGACGCTAATATCGTCGCACTCAAATTCTGACTATTGCTGCTGCTTTCGTCTACGCTGTTACTACTTTCCGGCATGGTCTCTCCGTATTGATATTCATCGTCATCATCATCATCATAATAGTAGTCGTCTCCTTCTTCTTGCCTAGCTAACTCCATAGCTAACTTTCTCTTCATGTATCGTCTCCATGCAGCTTGTATAAAACCAGTTCCCCAAGCTCTCCATTGATGCGAATAGTATCTATCCAAGAGTCAAACATGAAGATCAAGAAACCTTATACCATGTGAAACAAGAAACGTCTGATGCGTGTGAATCAAGAAACGATATATTACCTGAAAGCATGTTGGAGTTTCTTGCTGTGGAGGCGTCTGAATTGGTTAGCTACGAACTTCAAGTCTTCTGCTCGGAGAGCAAAAGCTTCTACTTCAGAAAGAGTCCTCACAGTTCTCGTGGACAAGGGGAGATTAAGGGTAATGTTTGGCATTAAAGCCCAGGTTAGGAGCTCTTCACCACAGAAATCTCCTGGTCTAAGCGTGATGGAGTTAAAGAACCCTGACCGTCCACCATCTGTAGTCGAACTCTCCATCTGGCCTCTAATGATGAAAAGCATTTCGTTCACAGGATCGCCCTCGCGGATCACGTATGTATCTTTGGTGTTCAACGACGGAACTAAACGCTCGCATATTGCGTCTAAGAGCTGGTCATCCATCTGTGCAAAGAATGGCACCTAATTTAAGAAAACAAGTAGAGTTAGGGTTCATTACTTGCGTAGGAAGTTATCAAAATGTATGGTTCCATGTGGCTTACACGGCGAACTAGGGCGAGACAGAGATGTCGCTGGATCTGTCTACGAAGATCCAATGGTAGAGCACGGAGGATGGCTTCTTCGTCGACGCCACGAGTGGTTAACCATTTGTATTGGACGAACCGCCTCACACGCTCTTGTAATTCCGGTGGCAATTGTCTGTGTCGCATCCATTCCTCTGTATCTCTTCTTCTAACCCTCCATTCGTCTAACCTAGCTGTGGTCGATTGCAGATAGTTCTTCAAGAAATTAACAATATTCACTTAATTAAGTCTTTTAATGTTAAGTTATAGAAGGAGATAAATTATACATGCATTTGATAAATTACCTGAACATTGCCAATGAGATGAGAGAAGAAAACAAGACCCGCGACACATATGAAACAACTGAATATAGTCTCACTACTCAGTGTACTCGCCGCAAGACTCTGTCCATAAGAACTAGACAAATCAAATCAACAAACAAAAAATCAGTAAGGAAATTCCAAAAAAGCACGTACGCCTTTCATTTATATATTTTAAGACTATTAAAAATTAGCCTAACCTGAGATTACGGAGACCCCACCAAAGGCAGTAGAAGTATTTATCAAAGAAAGGAGAAGAAGTGACATCATTAGTGAAAGCATCACCAAACATACCAAACTGAAAATGTTGGTCATCATCATTACGTGCATCGCAGTTAGAGAGAACCCTAGTGATGCGCATCCAAGCTCGTCTACCTGGATCCTGCAATGATCCACAGTCTAGAAACAAGAGGCTACAAGATGGTGAATGCGTTGCGTTCATCTCCTTTGTGCATTCTCTTCTCCAGCATTCGTGCTGTCTCTGAATCGATAAAACGTACCACACAGAGCCAAGAACCTAAATGGAGAAAACAAATTGTGAAACAGAGACACTTGTAGGTCATGTGGGGAAAGAGAAAGAGAAAGAGGTTACTTACGTGGCTCACAAGTAAGTAGAGGAGGAGATTGTAGGCTGCACCAGACCAGGCTGTTTTGGCTGCGACTCCGGTAGCTTTAATGATCCGACGGTTGAGAGGGAGCATGACGAGGAAGCGAGGAACGTATTGTATCAGGACGATCAAGGAAAGCGTGTGGTTTTGATGTGCTGCGTATCTGAATTCTCCAGCATTTGGTATCACAAACCAAATCATCATCTGAGAAAAACAGAGAGATTTCATTTGAGAGAGAACAGAACATATATTATCAATAGATTATACACTTTGATTTTGATCCATTGAGTAGTGGGATCCCAAAACGATTTCAAAGAATTTTACCAATCAAATAACTATTTGTGTTCAGTTTTTCTAAAATTATGCAAAGTTTAGTGATTCAACCCAAAAAGATTGATTCTACCAGTCAGCAAGTTTTCAATTAAATTAAGTACTTGATTAAGCATTTACCATGATTCTATCTCATAGTGTACATAACATTTTCTTGTCATTTTCAACATTTTACTGTTCCGCCATTGTTACCTGAGGAAGAGGAAGCGTGGCGGCGAGGTCGATAACAAACTCGGATTTGAGGTAGCGGAGGGCGATTTCACGGCGATCCATAACGAGCTCGCCACGACCAAAGACTCTAGACGATTTGGAGACAAATGCGGTTTTGAATTTGAGGAGAACGTGGATGAGGAAGAAGAGATCGGCTAGGGTTCGGAAGAAGGTGACGAGGATGCCGAAACGGACGTCGATGGACATACAGGCGGTTCCGGCTTGGACAATAGGGAGATAGAAATAGAGAGGGTCGAGGAAGAGAGCGAGGAGGCAGGTGATGAGGAATATGTGGTTCCATCTCGTGATTAGGTCACCGCCTGGGTCGAGGGTTTTGTCACCGAGCTCGGAAAATATGGATCGGCGGCGTTGGTGGTTGAGGTCGTTGTTGCGGTGGTTACGGAGGGAGAATGCCGTCGGGAAATTGCGGAAGCGGGCGGAGGTGTAGAGGTGGAGGTTGCTCATCTCGGTTGCTTGTGTTTGAAGTTATGGAAGGGAGAGATTTGTGGAAGTGGAAGAATGAGATAATACTGGAGACAATTAAGGAGAGGAAAGAGAGAGTGTGTGTAACTCTACGAACATAATCAAATATCGGTTTGAATGATTTGGGTAAATTTCGTTTTTTTTTTTGGTTGAGAAATCAGTGATAAAGAAAAGTCTATTCACAAGCCACTTAAATAAAAAAAATTGATTTGTAAGAGTAAAAGTTAGTATTTTCTATTGTTGATAGGGGTGGGCATTTCTATTTACTTATGGTTTTGGTTCAGATTCGGTTCAGTTCGGT